AGCACTCTACATTTCTAGCCACTCCTGATTTAAGTTCAGACCAAGCCAGCTTTTTGTGTCATTCAAGATACTTATCCAGAAGGGCTCCACAAGGACTCACATAAAATATGCTGAAGAGGCTCCAAGGACTGTTACCAAACTTTTGCCAATTACTTCTTCCCTTCTGTGAAGACAGACTCAGCTCGGACAGAGGATGCTCCTTTTCCTCTTTACAAAGATTCAGGCTTACGGTGCCTGCCAAGCAGAGCGCCAAAGCTGCAGAGAGCACAGGGATACAGGTATTGTGCCAAAAGGAGCCTCTGTCTACTTCCATCTCATTGTAGTTTGTGGCCACCCTTTGAGAGGTGTATTAACCTCAGGCTGATCTGCTACACCATTATAACCATTAAAACCCATGTATGCAGCTCATATGAACCAGGTAGGAGCAGATCCTGCTCTCAGCAATGCCAATGAGGAAATTCACAGGAATTTTAGTGGGAACTGTTAGGCCAGATATAGTTCCTATTGTGGTATTCGAGATTGACAAGCTTGAACCTGGCATGTATAGAGGCTAAATTTCAGCTTGACCATTAATACTGTTTTAGAAAACTAAATAAAACAAAGAATCATGTTCTAACATGATTAATGACAACATATATAAAAAAAAATCACATCATTTAAGAACAAAAGCAAACAAAACCCCCTAAGATTCTCCCCTCAGGATAACAAACCTTAAAACTTCCAAAACCAGAAGGTAAATAGAAAGGAACAAACCATATATTTGTCTCATATCTTACATGATTTTTATGCTCACAGAGCTGAAAATGCTGCCCTTTCTACCACGTTAATGCAAGAGCTCTCCTTTGTGGAGCAGGAAAAACCAGTAGCACAGAGGTGCATATCACAGGACACTTACTCACTTGTAGAGAAGGAACCAGCAGGCAGTAATTATAAAACGTCTTTGGTAGCACTGCAGCAGGTTGACTTAAACAAGTTTAAAGGTCTGGGCCACACCAGAAAAGTACGTGAGGGAAGAGCTCCTGTACCAAAATAACTCAGCAGCAGGGCAAGCTGAAGAGATATTGAGCTCACCAGGAAAAACTTGCTCAGGAAAGGGATTCATTTGCCTGGTGGTTTTGTTGGTGGCTTATTCTTACCTCATGCTTTTTGTGAACTGTGATGGTTTTCACTACTCCCGTCACATGGTTATCATCTCTCTGCATTCTGCCTGGCAGATAGAAACACGGTAGTGTCTCGATAGGGCTCTAACAATGGCAGCCACGCTAATTAGGCTGCCCCAAGTTTCACACTAACATCAATAAAACTCCCCCTCTACCTAGAATACCTCCAGAAAAGCTTTACTCTATGCTGCAGCCCATTACATGCTGATTATTGCCAACTAAGCATTCAAACTTAGACGTCAACCTGATTGCCAGACTCTTAAGTATGGGCCTCTGTTTTGCTGATCTGCAGTGGGATTATTCTGATGACAGCACCCCCCTTCAAATGGCTGTGGTGCCCTGGCAGTATCATCATGCCCAAGAGTTTGAGCTTGAACACAGCTGATCACATTCATTAACCGACAGTTGTTGGCAGATTAACAAAGCAACAGCAAATTAAAAGTTTCTCAGAACACCATTACAATTTGCTGAACCACTGCGTTATTACAAGAATGGAAAGAGAGGTTAACAATACACAGTAAGCATTGTCTGCAAAGAAAACGTTGATGATAACAATGCAATTCAGTCTCAACAAGAGAGCACTGGAAACACACAGCCTTGGCAGATTTGCAAGCCTGCTGCTTGAAATCTCAAATCCAGTTCTGAAAACAACCTCAGACGGCCCTTAAGGAAAAGTGAATGAATACACATCCTGCTTCCTCACAAGAAATCGATGCCCAACTTCATTGCTTATGCACAAGCTGCAACCCATGACAGTGCTGCAGGCCCTCACATAAGCAATGCAATGCCAAGCACCAAGCGCCTTTCAGTTGCCCAGCCAAGTAGTTATTATGGTCTAATTCACTTCTCCATGCATTGTCCTGAACACAATAGGTGTTTAAACTAAAGTTGTTATTTTTGCTAAGCCAATTAGAAGCTCTTCCTTGCACAAAACCATCCACAGTTTGCTTGCCTCTGCTAGTCCCTGCACAGCTGTTCTTTTTGGAACATCTGACACCTGCAAATGGCCCCTCTCCCCGCACTTCAGACCCACACATCTGAAGTTAAATCCTTTTAGGACACACACCCTTCATGGAAGAAGTGCTGGGACACAGCAGATGCATCCCCCACTTCTGAGCAGCCTCAGGATCCTTCAGGGGCAGATAAGATCATGGCCAGAGCCTGTGCAGTGAAAAGGAGGCAGCATGATGGTCAAGTTGGTGCACAGCATTTATGGCTTCTAGGAAGGAACAGCATTCTGCAGTTAGGTTCCAGAACTGATAATTTTATTCTGCACATTCCCTGTAATTCAGCTGGGTATGAAATTCCTTTGCCTTTAGTTTATTGTTGATTTTCAGCTATTACATGGCTGCTTCAGTTGTAAATGAGTCTCCCTATATACTTAAACAAAAATAAAAGGTCAGATGGTTGCAAGAGAACCAATTACACAAATCTCTGTATAATTTCTACACATTTGACAAGCCTTTCATATGTGCATACTAAGTTCCTAGACTTACTCTGTAACATGTATCTATTGCATGCATGTTTTAAAAAACACTCAGGAATTTTCAGGACAATAAATGAAACTTGACCCTTTTAGAACATTTTTAGACAGCAATTACTGCAGCATCACAGAACTTCTGACACTGCTTTCACACATTAGTATTTGATGTGACAAGCACAGGGATATGTCTGATCAAGGTCCAATACATCTGTGACAGACAAAGCACACAGAGCTTTTATTCCTATGACACAATTCAGCTCTCATACCCAGTCTTCTCCTGCAGCATGTTGGGTTTTTTCCAAAGGTTTGTACAGCAAACTATTGTTTCTGCTAATGAATTAACAAAACCACAGAAGCATTGAAGAGTTTAGGTGCAAGCATATCTTTTTGATGTAAAAAGTTCTGTTACAGGTGGGCCAAATGCCACAGTACACATCCATCAGCCTACAGAGAGAACTTGCATGATTTTGTACACAAACCAATTCACAGAAGGACAGTCTTGCCTTTGTTGTTTAAATAAACCCAGTTGAGAAAAAGCAAAACATTTAAACCCAATAAGCATTCTTCTTTGACATCTTGATGAAAAGAAGGAAGAGCCAGATGCAGATAATGCATGCAAATTTTGAATTTCTTACCTTCTGGCAGTTGTTTGTTCTAACAACAGCACCTCTATTACAAGAGTTCACAGAGCAGGAGGAGAAACAGTGGAAAAAAGTTGCATTTACTCTCAAGTTGGATTGATCTGCCTGGCCAGTTAACTATGCAACAGCATTTTCTTCCCTTCTGCAGCCTCAAAAAATACAAAGTATTCCTGGTGTTTAAAAATAAAGCCACCTCTGAAAAGTGACCTAACGAATAACTGAGCTGCACTGCATAAGGACTGTTATAACAAATTAAATATGGTTTCCTTATTTACTATTGAAGAACTACTTTGACATGATGCTTAGAATCTAATACAGTAGAGGTTTAAGTCACTTGACAATATTATCTCTTTCTTTTGTACAGAAAACCAAGGTTACTCTGCAAAGCAGTTAACCAGCATCCAGTTGTTTGTCTTAAACACAGCATTAGCCCCAGGACACACCTTTGTCACCATTTCTGCCCTGTGATGACAAGGATAATGTCCAAAAGCATCCTCTGATTTCAGTTGTGAAACATCTGCTAACTTACTGACATCCAGAGAAAGATAAAGTGTGGGAGTGCAAAGGTGCCAGTCTGATAGCTCCATAGACATGTTCCCACACACCCTGAAGGAGCCATTCCAGCAAGGCCTGACAGAGCCATAAACCAGAATCGCCCTGATCATCTCCATCTCCTGAAAGCCACTCAAAGCTCTTCACAAGATACTGCAACAGCCACCATCTTTGAAAGCCTATCTTTTTGGAAGACCTTGTTAACAACTGTTGAGTTCACTTAGGGCTGGAAAATCTCTATTCTACTTCGTCTCCCCTTTCACCTCAGGGCTTTCAACTGCAAGCATTCCCCTTTTCCTCCCTCCACATGGACACCCGATAAGATGTTCAGGGTACTTTTTATTCTTATAAAGACTTCAGAACATTACTCTCTTGGTAAAAAGGTGCCTCATATCTCTGTAAATAGGAGAGCAGTACTTTGAAAACAGACATTGAGTTTCCTTTCACAGCCCTAAAGTATAAGCTGCTGTATCAAAATAATTTTCACTACAGCTGCTGGTTGGAGCAGGAGCTCAGCAGCTTTTCTTTACAAGCCAATAAATGAGACTAATACTTCCTACTCAAGGTCTCATCTATACGTCTTGGAAAAAGCTGCCTTAAAAACCCTAAAGAGCATAAATCTAACTGAACTTTAGATCTTGACTCTTACTACCCATTCTTCACTTTCTGAAGCCTCACTAACAGCACACAAATTTTATTTGGCTTTCCCTGTCCACAAAAAGCACTGTTCTCCAGAATTCTGCAAATCCATGGAGTTAAAAACTGCCCATGCACTCTCTAAAAAAACTTCAAGCCTTTCATCTACAGTAGCTGCACAACTGACTTAGAAACCTTGAACTAGCCACTCCCCACTCAGATAAGAGGCTGTTTTGGTAAGGCAAAAATTTATTCATCAACTTTTGCATTTCAAGTCAGACCAACTGATACAATATTTACAGAAGAGTTTGAAATACACAGTATTTGCATTTTATACAAGCAACTAAGTGCAGCCTGTAGCAAGATTTCTACATAGTATCCAGATACTCCCACTGCTACATAATTCCAGTTAAAAAACAACATCTGTAATGCTTCCACAAGAGTTTCTACACCTGAGAAGACGTGGTATATCCTTTCAAGAGGAAGTCTGCAATTAAAAGCCACACACATAAGCCTATGTAAAAGTTGTCATTCCAGTTGCAAATGATTTTCTTCCTTTGAAGCCAGATCTAATATACTCTCCTGTAAGCCACATAAGACTTGTGATGGCTCTTCTTCAGAAGTGCTGTCTGCAGCATCTCCACAGTTAAGCTCTTCATTTTCTTGTTTGGATTCCTCTAGAGCCAGACTCTTCAGGGTCTCCAGATCATCAGGTGCTTGCCCAGTTAGCCTCTAGAAAGAAAAATAAGACAGTGAACTTAATATTTTTTCTACTTAACAGCCAGTGAAATTAGACTGCATATTGAATTAAACTAATTATCTTCATTTAGGTACTGTTGCTATAATTAAACCATTCCTCAGTCACAAAAACCTTAGACATCCAAGTTTGACTCAAATTACTACCTCTGACTCACAGACTGCATCTGCTTTGTTGACCTGTTGAAGTTTTCCTTAGGTTCTTCGGTAGGACAAGTTTTATCTTAGGCAACTTAAAATATGGGAAACAACTTCTCCAGTTAAATATTACTACAGTACTACATAGGTTTAATTTTTGAAACATTACCATACAACAGATTAAGTTCATAATTTTTAATCAGATAATGAAACTACATTAAGTCTATATGAACTAGAAGACCCAGCAGTTTCTAGCACTTGATGATCAAACTACAAGTTCCTCACCTAACCTGACCCAAAGAAGAAAAATAGGACTATAAGGCGGCTTTTGAGGCTTCCTTTTGTCTGATGTATCACTTAAGGCTCATTTAAAGCCTCAGAAATGAGCAGCTTTCAAGTAATAAGTGAACTTGAATGCTGAGGAACTGCAGAGAAGTTTCCAACTACATTAGTACCTCAATCATGCTGGTCATATAATGCACATGTTCAGCGAGGGACATTAGCTCTTCATTTTCTTCTTTTAGGCGGGCAATTTCACCATCCTTCTGTTCGATTTCTTTGTGCAACTGCATTCGAACAACCAAGTGTTAGAACAGCAAGACAACAGCCAGTGGTAAAAAAAAGTTAATTATCTTTCACTAGCTACCTTTTCATTTTCTTGAAGCACTTCATACAGAGCCTTCCTCCGTTCTTCAGCCACTTCTTTCCAATACCGAGATGAAGGGCTTCCTGAAGTAAGAAGCTACAGTAAGTCTGTGCTAGCCTGAAGTCGTGAGACCACCTTAGGTTATCTAACTTGTATACAAGTGCTCTAGAAACTCTGGTAACAAGAACTCACTCCACAGAGTCTTTTCACAGAGACTAGTTTTAGGTGTACAACTAGAGACATAAGCTTACAGAAAATACTGTATTAATGGCTATAGAGGCAAAGCCTTCAAGAAGCTGCCTCAAGCATGGCAGCAGGCTTTGCAAGATTGTCACATCTGCAAGTGTCAGTCTTACTGCGTACTTCATGGAAGGCAGAAGTCATAACCACTGTCCACAGTGGGTTTAATGGTTCTGAGAAACTGCACATGCAGCACACGATGCCAAAACTTTGCCAAGGCTTTCACTTCAGCGTAATCACAGGGGCTCTCAGCTACTGATTTCCATAAACTCATACTTAAACATTCTATACTACACTTAATATAGAGGAAAAGTATCATGAACTCCTGCTAGGCATTACAAAAAAAAAAACCACCAAAAAACCCAAACCACAAAGCCCTTATTTAACCAGCAAAGGAACCACGTTTCAAGTTATATTCCAATAGCAGCACAGCATTTTAAGTGCATAAAAAAGAAAATCAGGAATTACCTTCTATCATGAGATCTACAGGTTGAACAACATCATTCACACCCTTATTTTCTTGGTCCTTGTCCACAGACACCTCAGCTTTACAAGTCTTTGGGGTGAGCTTGCTATTCCAGAGCTTCCCTTTGACTGAAGATTTCTTCTGCATAAAACAGACAGGTTTAACTTGAGAGCAACATGTCAGCCTTCTAAAAAATACAGTATGTTGCTCACTCATGACTGCAAATGAGTCCTTATAATCCCCACTTTCTTCCTATTATAGTTCTTGTTTACAAGCATCTTCCTTGTTATCTATAGCTTTAACAAAAAAAAAAAAATCAAGCATTTTCCTTGAGTCTTCAGAAATTGCTAGCTTTTAGCATTTATTACCCAAATAATAGTAAGCTTGAGTTGTGTCACACTAGTTCGCAGATTGTGTTTTTTCAGATATATTAGTGTTCAGTTAAAAGCTGAAAAGCATCTCACTATGAGTAGAAATAATCACACATCTAAAGGTTATCTTTTAATTCATACCTCATTACGTCTGCCAACCAGGCAACCTGTGGCTGAGGGCTGAATCATTTTAAGAGTCCGTCTTGGGGCAGCACCGCATGTGGTGTCTGTGAGGTACTTCTAAAAGACAAATATGGTTTCAGATGGTTGCCACTCTTCACTACATGAACTCAAACTTAGGAACTTGTCATGCTTCTGTTAAGGTAACCCACTGTTCACCTTTTCAAGACAAAAAGGTGATACTTTAGTCTACGTTAAGGCTTGCACAAAGATCTGAGTTATCTGTAGCACAGGATGGATCTTATCCACATGAAGCTACGCTCATGCCTCTTAGAAAACCCCTACCCTTCAGAAAGGGACCTGAACAGGTCTTATAGCAGAAATGCTCCAACTACATTTGAAGACCAGTTACAGCATAGTCATTCACAAAGTTTATCTAAGGCTCTCAAAGTTGTATTTGAGAACAGCAGTATGAGACTTTGGGAGACAAACGGTGAGTGCAATTGCAAGTTTATGTGCTAAAGCCCCTATATATCACTTCAGGCAGCACTTGGTTTTGTTACCCATGAACACACCCTCAAGTGGCATTCATTTAAATAGAAGTGTTGCTTCAATTATCCATCAAAATGGACCTAAAGCTTCCTCACCTGGATCCAAAGAGACTATTGTTTTCTATAAACAGTATGTTTATCACCTTTCCTGTCATGCATAAATACCTGTTTCCTGCATTAAAGCTTTCCCATTGGGTTGGTTACACTGCCACCATGGGATAGCAAACAGTGGCAGACAACGAAGCAAGAATAGCCAGAATACAATGCCACACCAGCGTGAGAAAGTTACCGAATCACACCGTACTGCATATGACAAGAGTTCGCCTTTCCCACGGTAGTTTCTGCCACCAATTATCCTACTGTTGAACTAAAGGACAAACACTAACTGCTGTGGGAACAAGAATCACACTGTGTGTCAGACATCACTTGCTGCTATTGAAGGTTAGAGTTAAGTATACTCTGCCAAGAAATTATTGACCAATACTCGAGTTAACCGCTTGAAAGTGCAAACAGCCACGCTGAGAAATTTATACCTTAGAGTTACTATAGGACAAGATTACCATGTGTGTAATTCAGACTTAGCCATTGGTAGTTTTCATTAACACCAGCAATTCTGGTTATAATCACTCTCGCCCTCATGATAGAGGGCTACTAGCCTCTATTTTGTATGGTATTTGCACAATGCTCATTAGAACCTACATTAACAGGTTTAACAAAAGGACCTTGTAAGAAGACTAGAATACGTATAAACTTCAGTAACTTATTAGTCACCTCTTAAAAACGTCAATCCTTTCAGCATTCCCACCAATTCCAAGGCAACTATGGTTCAGTTGGGTGACTTCAGGAGAACTGCCTGCCTAAGTATTTCAGTTAAAGCATGTTCAACTCAAGACAGATTTAACAGGTTAAACATCCTATAAAGGACAGACTACAGAACCTACTCTGTTACCCCTAAGCAGCCAGACTGAATCAATAACTGAACTAAGGAAGATAGCTAGCACCTTAAAAAAAAAAAAAAAAATCACACGGAAAGACAGCAAGCTCAGTGTCAGAGTAACTCACTGAGTAATGAGGGAAAAGTACTTATAAGCACATATGGCCAAGCAGCACAGAGTGTTCTCAAGTCAGACTGCTTGCCAGGAGGTTACTCAAGCCAAGAGGACATAAGCCAGGTGGAAGCAGACTGCAAGATCCCTTTGCATTCCTTCGGTGGGTACAGACTTGTGTCAGATGGACTGTTGCCCCAGAATCGAGCACACACATTGGAAGAAAAAAAAATTCTGTGTTGGAGATAGAAGGTGAAATTTATCAAGCCTATTCCCCACTCCTTATTTTCTCCCCTATTCTACCTCTAAAACTTCAAAGCCTCTACCTGCAAAGATCCCGATGGTTTTTCCACAGTCAGTTTCTGTTTCATTTTGGAATTCATAGGATCACTGTTGGAAAAAAAAAAAAAGGTACAAAATTGGAAGCAGCCGGGTGCAGCTGAAGTTCAGGGACACTACTTACAGGTTATTGCAACTCCAGTTTAATAAACTCTTACGATACCATTAAAAACGCAGTCACAGAGGGCGCGGTGCGCGGGCTCCCCGCGG